GCAGTAATGACGTTGGGAATCAGGGAGGAGTCTCTTCCGTGGCTATGGTGTCCCGGCTACCTTCCAGTAGCTAGACATTTAATCATTCATCATCAATAACTTCTCGACCATTCACTCAGGAAAATAAGGATGACTTGAAATGTACCTTTTATGGGCAAACCTGTCATACAGAAAATACATGTTTTTAGAAACATGGAGTACCTGACTGGTTTCCAAAATTGAAGAAAAATTTGCGTGCCAAGGAACGAGGTGCTGGTGGCACAAGAGAAGGCCGTGCATCCGTGGCCACTGCCCCCAAGGATGTCGTATCCCCCATTGGTGATCCGAGTAATAGTTTGCTGACTAGGACCACTCCTAGTGAAACCCCGTCTATTCCAGGTAGTATGGGGCATGCTTTTTTAGCCTTTTATATGGAACATCATACAGGTTGGATTCTAAACTCGGGTGCAACCAATCATATGACTTTTGATAAGAATTTATTTACTAGTATGACAATGAGTTCACGAAAATGTATTGCAACTGCCAATGGACAAACAACACTGGTTTTGGGGGCTAGCACGGTGCACCTCACATCGGCCATTCCTCTTCATCATTGCCTACTTGTTCCCTCGTGGTCTCATAATTTGTTATCTATTCCTCAAGTTACTGAGCAATTAGATTGTGTTGTGCTTATGTATCCACTTTTTTGTTTACTTCAGGATATTCAGACCAAGGCGATAATTGGGTGTGGCACTAAGAAAGAGGGGTTATACTATGTGGATTACGTTGTTCCTGGCAGAGCTAATGTAGTTCGAGCATCCCGTATCAATAATTTACAAGAAATTTGGTTATTGCATCGTCGGTTAGGACATGCTTCGTTTGGTTATTTAAGGCGTATGTTGCCTAGTTTATTTCATGCAATAAAAGAATCAGACTTACATTGTGAAGTATGTATTCTCACAAATAGTCATTGTGCTTCGTTTCCTTCTAGTATGAATAAAAGATTATTACCCTTTGATCTTGTGTACTCATATGTTTAGGGTCCCTCCCCTGTTAGTACTTTGTCTGGCATTAAGTGGTTTGTTACCTTTATGGTTGATTGCACACGTATGACGTGGATTTATGTGATGAAAAATAAAAGTGATGTAAGTATAGTGTTTCAATCATTCTCCAAAATGGTTGCAACACAATATTCCTCTGTTATTAAGGTTCTCCGCTCTGATAATGGAGGTGAATATATTGGTTCCAAGTTGTCTAACTTTCTCCGGGATCAAGGAATCTTGCATGAAACTACTTGTCCTTATACCCCATAACAAAATGGAGTTGCGGAGAGAAAAAATCGTCATATCTTGGAGACTGCCCGTGCCTTGCTTATTGGTGCATCCGTACCTAACCGGTTCTGGCATGATGCGGTCACTTATGCTGTGTATGTCATTAACCGTATGCCATCCCGGGTGTTGGACTTTCGTACACATCTCCAAGTGTTAACGGAGTTTGTTCCAGTCGTGTCCACCAATACCCTTACTCCCCGTGTCTTTGGGTGTAGCTTATGTTCATATTCATAAGATTCATTGTAGTAAGTTGGATCCATGTGCCCACCGGTGTGTTTTCCTTGGTTTTGCTTCTCAACAGAAAGGGCATAAGTGCTACCATCCTGAAACTCGCCATATGTATGTGACCATGGATGTTACTTTTTAGAAGTTCGATTCCATCACCTTTTGATCACCAGGGGGAGAATATTATCGGTGATCTTGGGTGGTTGGAAATATGTGGCTTAAGGAAAGAGTGTACTCAAGAAGGGAGCTGTGAAAGCTCTCGGCATACTGCAGAAATGAGCCGTGAAGGCTCACGGCAAGAGCCTGCCGAGCACTGGAGTTTTATTCAGCCACCTGAGCCTTCTCGGTAACAGCTTGTCGAATGTGATGAAGAAAGTCGGCATGAAGCTGCCGAGCCCCCGTCACGCCATTGCTTATCGAACCCGCAACCCCCTTTCTCTCGACTTCGATAATGCCACCCAATATGTCTCCTCTGAATATCCCTGAGGTAAGTACTACTGATACTCATGTAACTAATCCAGATAACATTGTGAGTACATATAAGTTGCCACTAAGGCAAAATCATGGTGTTCCTCCTAACAGGTTTTCTTCTGAAGGAAAAGTGAAGTATCCAATTGCTAATTATGTGTCGTGCTCGAACCTTGCCCTAGAACGCCGTCTGGGTAAATAATATAGAAGTAATCCAAGCACCAACCAGAGTTAAGGAGGCCTTGAAGGATCCTAAATGGGTTGCTGCAATGGATGAAGAAATGATGGCATTACATAAGAATGATACATGGGAGGTAACAGAGCTACCTAAAGGAAAGAAACCGATTGGGTATAAATGGGTATTTACAATTAAATACAAGGCAGACGGATCAGTAGACATGTATAAAGCAAGGTTAGTGGCAAAGGGTTATACTTAGACTTATGGTGTTGATTATCAAGAAACTTTTTCTCCAATGGCAAAGATGAATACAGTACGTGTTCTAATCTCTTTAGCTACAAATCTGAATTGGCCACTGAAACAATTTGATGTAAAAAATGCTTTTCTTCATGGGCATTTGGAAGAAGAGGTATATATGGATTTTCCTCCAGGGTTCAATACCAGAGGGAAAACAGAAGTATGTAGATTGTTAAGGTCACTTTACGGACTTAAGCAATCACCTCGTGCATGGTTTGGAAAATTCACTCAAGTGATGAGAAGAATTGGGTATTTTCAGAGTCATTCTAATCATACATTATTTGTGAAACGAAGAAGTGGAAAAGTGACGGCCTTAATTATTTATGTGGATGACATGATAATAACGGGTGATGATACAGAAGAGATGATGAGGCTAGAGCGAAACCTGGCTGCCGAATTTGAGATGAAGAATTTGGGAGATTTGAAATATTTTCTTGGCGTGGAGGTTGCTCGGTCATCTAGAGGTATTTTCTTGTCTCAACATAAATATGTTCTGGATTTATTAAAAGAAACAGGGATGCTGGGATGTAAACCGGTGGACACTTCCATCGTGGAAAAACATTATTTGGGGATTTATTCAGATCAAGAACCGGTTGACAAAGGTAGGTATCAAAGACTGGTTGGGAGGTTGATCTATTTATCTCACACTCGTCCGGATATTGCCTATGTTGTAAGTGTGGTGAGTCAATTCATGCACTCACCAAGCGTGGATCATATGGCGACAGTAACGAGAATCTTGGCTTATTTGAAGTCTGCACCTGGTAAAGGGATCTTGTACGTGTATCATGGACATATGAGGATTGAGGGTTTTACTGATGCTAATTGGTCAGGTGATGTGACTGATAGAAGGTCTACATCTAGGTATTTTACGTTTGTTGGAGGTAATTTGGTCACTTGGCGAAGCAAGAAACAAAATGTAGTATCAAGATCCTCTGCTGAAGCCGAGTATAAGGGAATGGCACAGGGTGTGTGTGAGATTCTTTGGCTACAAAAGTTACTTTGGAGTCTCGGTTTTAAACAGACAGAAGCAATGGAGTTGTATTGTGATAATAAGTCCGCTAGAGAAATAGCTGAGAATCCAGTACAGTATGACATGACTAAACATATGGAGGTTGACGAGCATTTTATCAAAGAAAAGCTGGAGAAGAATATTGTGTCAATACCATTTATGAACTCAAAAAGAACAACTTGCAAACATTCTTACCCATGCCATGTGTAGTAGGCGTTTTGATGATTCACTAGTCAAGTTAGGCATGAGTAATATCTATGCTCCAACTTGAGGAGGAGTATTGGAATAAGTCAATGTTTAAGAGAAAAGGAATGTAAATATTATGTAATTATTAGTGTCTTGTTTAGGAAGGATAATATGTCCTTTATTTGTTTCCTTTTGTAACAAGGATTGTATGTACCTATTTACACATAATTATGGAATATACGAGATTAAGCCGTAAAATTCAATTGAACTTACATGACGTAAGTATACCGGTAGTATTTCGTGCTAATAAAATAAAGATATGAGTAAGTTTTTGTTCACCTATCTTTGTTTTATTGGCATATCATGCCATGTGTCTGTTTACCCGTGTAATGCAAGTTGTTCTTTATTGTAGGGCATAATTGCTTCCAACGAAATAAAAGATGAATCTGTGCTCCCCTAATCCTCCCAAAGAGTTGACTCTACACGGCCGAGTTTCTCCAGAGTGGTAGTCATGATGCTTAAGAGAAGTATACCAAGAAATAAAGAGGGCAACAGGAAGAAGAATAAGAAGTTGTTTGAAGAAACTGGCATGGTGATGATCCGATATTTATTCCAATTGTGCTACAAAGCTAAAGGAATTGCTTCTTTGGAAATGGAAGCTCTAAACAGGCTCCAACATTTCAAAACATTCCAAACAAGTAAACAACTGTCTATCTTTTGAACTAGATAGAAGTTAGGTTACTAAGCGTTAAGTGATGACAGAGTAGTATTGAAGTGGGCTTCCACTCTCACATTATATATGGAGCTCTAAATCCCCACACCAACCCCTTTCAATGAAGCAAACTTAGAGTTTAACTGGGATAAAATGGTCCATTTGAGGATAAAATGCTCCATAAATGACATGCTAGTGAAAACCAATTTCGTTATTTGTCCACATCATAACTTAATGTTAGTGACAACATCACTTAACGTCAATGACTCCATCACTTAACATTAGTGACTTAACAAATTTCCATTTTTCAAGATGTTATGTAATTATTTCAAAAGTTTTAAAATGTTACAAGGACCAATTTAAAAATACACCAGAAGGGTGAGTAGTAGTTATCCGTAATTTCCATTGAAATTAAAAGTAGTACAAGTCTTAAAAAATTTCAAATTGTGAAGAACACACATAATGTAAATCTCAAAAGAAAAGTGAGATTTAGAAATTAACACGTAGGTTTTTAATCCATTCAATTAGTCTTGTTCTTTGAGAGGTGTTAGTTGCAAATTATTCTCTTAATTAATTACTTACAACTAAAACTGAAGACATTAAGGATAAGCAACGCCACAAGCAGATTGTTTTAACCTTCAGACGTCAATACAGATTAGTATAATGCCTTTTCAATTATTAATATTTAAGAAGGGTTGTAACTTGTACGTCTTAAGTTTCCCCTTATGCTTTCACACCTTGTGTTGGGAGAAATGCGTCTGACCAAATGCTTCGACAAAGGGCGTTTTATAAGCTAACAATGCAGGCATACCCTGCCACGTTCAGCTTCACGAGCTTGTTTATCCCGCCCTCGCACTGACACAAGTAGAGATCGTATCGCTTCAAGGACCTACCTTAAAAACCCAGAAACAAATGTGGTATGATGTCCGCTGAGGGAGATTACCAACTAAGTTCATACACCAGAAATTGCTGCTGCTGGATCTTTCTATATCTTAGTATTTCTTATGAGCATGTACAGTAATTTGTACACTGCACCAAAAAGCTGAAACAAAAGCATCACTGAAGAAATGCAGACTATAAGACTAAGAACAATCGACAATACATAATTCATCAGGCGTAATTTTACAGAAAGCCAATGTAGTCGTGTTCAAGTTTCAACTACTACTTACGACGCACATCAAACTTTTGAAATACCTGGTGGCAAAGGCTTGATCTTGCCCAGCAGCTTTTCAGCTTCAACAAATCCAATTGATCCCACAGACAAATACTTTATACACTTCCATCTGTTCAAGTATAAGTAAGCATGTCAGTTCAATGAACAAGCAGGATGTAATCATGTAAGAGAAATCCCCGAGGTACAAAACGACTGTGAAAACCCCAAATAGCTTGCCTGGGTGTGTAAGGTAGTGCGAAACAATGTAGATGAAGATGGTTAACGGAGTTCAATGGAGGCTGATGAAATCCAAATCTGTCAAAAGGGAAGTCTAAAATCATAATCAAAACTCTTTTATTATTGAAACAAAATCCTATTATTTTGACCCAATCATTTCCAAATAATGATGCGTGCATGCTTGTTCTAATTCAAGTTCAAATGTTCAACTATTGTATATTCATTTAAGGATTCACAAGCAATCCCACAAACTCATTTACAGAAAGACCCACTTCCAAGGTTCTAAAAGACACTTGGCGCTAGTCTGGCGGCGGACTGGGGCCTAGGCGAACTAGGCGGATATAAGTAAATTTATTATATATCGTATAAATAAGTGTCTGTTTATACTTTAAAAAATATTGGAATACATACATTGTAAAATAGAATGACATATTATCATGTATTAGAACATAATAAAAACATGGAACAAACATATAATGTGTGTTCATCTAATTATTCAACATCTTTTATTAAAAAAATAAAATGTAAAATGAAAGTTATCTATTTTTTGTCTAAGTGAGAGTCGCGACCTATACAGGTGCCTAGGCAGGAATGGGTGCCTGAGTAGGTCTAGGCACCCTTTCTTAATTTCAAATGCCTAGGATTAATCAGGGCGGTGGTCAGCACCTAGCACCTAGGCGGCGCTAGGCGGGGATTTTTAGAACAAGGCCCACTTCCAAAGAAGCCGTAAAGGGCCAAATTGGTCAGGGACACACCAAATTACATAATTAACTAACATTCACATTCTTCACCATATCAATTCTGCAATACGCAATCTGTTTGACTGACATGATATTAGAACAAAGGGGCATCAATTATCTCATAACATCATCGTTTAGATGCATATAAATACTTTAGAAAACGAATCGATTGTTCTGTTTTCTTTCAGCTCATTTCTGCATTAAGCAATTTGTTAGGCACGCCGAAAATGCGGTGTGTAACTAATTTGGAAAGCATACTGACGTGAAACAAATCTTAACACAAATTTACACGAAGTAGCTTCTCAAGATCAATCTATTTGTGCACGCAATTACAACCCCGAAAATAATACTGTGAAAAAACTTGAATCGCAAAGGCAATACCTGTACTGATGGCATTGCGGTGCATCTCGTTGTATTAGCTTTTTCCCCACTTCTAACATGTGACTTACTGTATAACAACGAAAACAATGGAGAAAATAATCAAGAAGCGTATCAACAACAAAAGTGGCTAAGAAATTAAGATATAAGAAGAAAAGTCACACATTGGTTCAATCATATATGATTTTGTTCCAAATATACCAACAGATTGAGATTAGATTACCCAAAGAGTAGTCTTCAGGTCTCCTCTGAAGATCCTTAACAGTTGGAATGTGATCCACTGGAACAACCAAGTAATGCCTACACAGGATTAGATTGGAAAATGACTTAAAATTCAATTAAAATGGTAAAATTGATGAATAAAAATTGGAGAAATTACATTCTATCAGTACCTTACAGCAGCAGGGTTGATGTCTTGAAAAGCAACGACCTTTTCATCCTGCAAGAAAACCCCAGTTGACCAATTACTGAATTACAGCAACAAGATCGACATATTACGGAAAGCAACGTTTGGTTGCTGAGAAAATCGGAAGGGGATAAAGCCCATATGGCAGCTCAACTTTCTGAGCAACCAAACTGAGTGGAAGGGAAAATGAAATGCGTAAATAGAGAGAGCAAGCAGACGGTGTGGAGGAGAGTGGTAGAGGTGGGCTTTCCAGCGATCTGGCAGAAGATGCAGGGTGAAGCTGCGGCTGCCGCTGCCGCCATCGGCGACTCTTAAGCCGCGAGCAGAGTTAATGGGATTTTTCTTCCTTCCACAGGCTCATTGCAGTTGCAAGCATTTTGTGATGCTGATTGGGCTAGATGTCGAGATACCAGAAGGTCGATAACAGGGTTCTGCATTTTGCTTGGTCACGCACCTATTTCTTGGAAAACTAAGAAACAAACGACAATATCTCGTTCGAGTGCAGAGGCCGAATACCGTTCCATGGCCACCACATGTTGTGAAATTGTATGGCTGAAGAATATTTTGAAGGACCTAGGAGGGAACCATTCTCAGCCAGTGAAGTTGTTTTGTGACAATCAAGCAGCATTACACATTGCTTCAAATCCTGTTTTTCATGAACGAACGAAGCACATAGAAATCGATTGTCATCTAGTATGAGAAAAGATTCAAGAAGGAATGATACGCACGGCTTACATACGGACCAACGATCAACCCGCTGATATATTTACTAAGCCGTTGAGTTCAACACAGTTCGAAGTTCTACTTGGCAAGTTGGGTGTTATTAACATACACTCCAACTTGAGGGGGAGTGTTAAGGAAAATATCTCTATTACTTAGTCAATATTGTAAATTGATATTGTGGTTATTTCCTTTTAAACCAAGTTTTTGTGATTCAAATAAGTGTGACATTTGTCCTTTAGCCAAGCAAACAAGAGCACCATTTTCCCTGAGTTCCATATCCACTAAATCTTGTTTTGAATTGCTGCATGTTGACATCTGGGGGGGGTATCACGTTCCTTCTATTTCTGGTGCAAAATATTTTTTAACTATCGTTGATGATTACACTAGGAGCACCTGGATTTACCTAATGAAATATAAATCTGACACACAGCAGCTTCTTGTGCAATTTGTTCATTTAGTCGAAACCCAATTTAATGTTAAAGTCAAAATCATTCGTAGTGATAACGGCCCCGAGTTTAAGCTTGCTAGTTTTTATGCCATGAAAGGTATTGTCCATCAAACCAGCTGCGTTCACACACCACAGCAAAATGGTGTTGCTGAACGTAAGCATCGCCATTTATTAAATGTTGCCCGAGCTTTACTCTTCCAAGCAAACATGCCACAACGATTTTGGGGGGACGCCATACTCACTGCAGCCTATCTCATTAACCGCACTCCCACACCTCTTCTCCACGGGAAAACACCCTATGAAATGTTGTTCCAAACAGCCCCCAGTTACTCGCACTTACGTGTGTTTGGTTGTTTGTGTTTTGCCTCTACTCACGCCTATAAACCTTCCAAATTCGATCCTCGTTCCCGTCGTTGTGTCTTTCTTGGGTACCCATATGGCCAAAAGGGTTATCGACTTTTTGACCTCCATCTTAACAAAATTTTTGTCTCTCGGGATGTGCTCTTTTTCGAAAACCATTTCCCTTATCATTCTGCCCACTTCCGCTGCTCAACCACAGTCCACCCTACCACCGCATCCCTTATTTCCCCTTGCTGTCGATCCCTTTCCTGTCCCACGACCCATACTACCCTCCATCTCCACTGAACCATCCACCCCCCACACACCCACTGAGCCATCCTCTGAGCCCTCACCCTCCCCACCTCCTTCTCCTCATTCCCCACCTGCTACACCCCTACATGCACCATCTCCAGACACCACCATTCTCCCTTCCCCCTCCCCAACTCCACTTGTTCATCTCACTCCACCACGACGTAGCACACGCCCCACCAAACCCTCTTCCTTTTTGCAGGACTTTCATGTCGAGGTTGCTCTCCCGTCCAGACCTGCTCCCGCTTCTTCTACGAACGTGGCTCTTTCCTCGTCAGGTACTTCTCATCCTCTCTCCACTTATTTGTCCTATGATCGACTCTCTTCTCACCATACGGCCTACATCACTAATCTTTCCCTCCTCCGAGAACCTACGAGCTTTTCCCAGGCTGTCCGTGATCCACACTGGCGTGATGCTATGCACCATGAACTGGCTGCTCTTCAAGCCAATCATACCTGGACACTCGTGACTTTGCCGCTGCATAAATGTCCCATTGGTTGTAAATGGGTTTACAAGATCAAACTCAAACCTGATGGCACCGTTGATCGGTACAAAGCCCGCCTTGTTGCCAAAGGTTACAGTTAAATTGAAGGGGTTGATTACCAAGAAACTTTTGCTCCTGTCGCCAAGTTAACCACCATCCGTGTGCTCCTAAGTGTCGTTGTTGTGCAAGGTTGGCATCTTCATCAGCTGGATGTCAACAATGCTTTCTTAAATGGTGACCTTGACGAGGATGTCTACATGACCTTGCCACCTGGTTTCGGACGAAAGGGGGAGACTCGAGTATGCAAGTTGAATAAATCCCTCTACGTTTTAAAGCAAGCTTCAAGGCAATGGTTCATTAAGTTATCTCATGCTCTGAAGGCTGCTGGATTTGTTCAATCACGGTCCGACTATTCACTATTCGTCTGAAGTCGTCATGGTAACTTCATTGCTTTACTGGTATATGTTGATGATGTGATATTAGCAGGGAATAATCTGCATGAAATTGAAGAAACCAAGAAGTTCCTCTCTCAGCGTTTCAAACTCAAAGACTTGGGGCAACTCAAATACTTCTTGGGAATAGAAGTTGCACGATCAAAGCATGGAATTACTATATGCCAACGTAAATATGCTCTCGAAATATTGGAAGATGCTGGGTTTCTAGGCGTTAAGCCTTCTCGGTTCCCTGTGGACCAAAATTTGTCACTCACACAAATGGAAGGAAAAGAGCTGAATGACCTTTCATCGTATAGACGACTTGTGGGCAGGTTAATATACTTGACCATAACAAGGCCTGACTTGGCTTATGCTGTTCACATGCTAAGTCAGTTCATGGAGAAACCTCGGCAACCACATCTTGATGCTGCACACAAGGTCCTCAAGTACATTAAACAAGCACCTGGACAAGGGATTTTTCTTCCTTCCACAGGCTCATTGCAGTTACAAGCATTTTGTGATCCTGATTGGGCTAGATGTCGAGATACCAGAAGGTCGATAACAGGGTTCTGAATTTTGCTTGGTCACGCACCTATTTCTTGGAAAACTAAGAAACAAACGACAATATCTCGTTCGAGTGCAGAGGCCGAATACCGTTCCATGGGCACCACATGTTGTGAAATTGTACGGCTGAAGAATATTTTGAAGGACCTAGGAGTGAACCATTCTCAGCCAGTGAAGTTGTTTTGTGACAATCAAGCAGCATTACACATTGCTTCAAATCCTGTTTTTCATGAACGAACGAAGCACATAGAAATCGATTGTCATCTAGTACGAGAAAAGATTCAAGAAGGAATGATACGCACGGCTTACATACGGACCAACGATCAACCCGCTGATATATTTACTAAGCCGTTGAGTTCAACACAGTTCGAAGTTCTACTTGGCAAGTTGGGTGTTATTAACATACACTCCAACTTGAGGGGGAGTGTTAAGGAAAATATCTCTATTACTTAGTCAGTATTGTAAATTGATATTGTGGTTATTTCCTTTCCTATTTAGTTTCTGGACAAGCCTTACTTGTAGGCTATAGTTTAGGTTTTCCTTTTACCGAATGGTTGTATAAAGGCTGTAAACCTAGTTGTTGAATACAATATAGAATTACAATCCCATTCTGTGATTCTTATGAGGACGAGTTCGGGGACCTTAGGCCATCTCTAGAGGGCTAGCAGATAGCTCCTTTTAGCCTTTGGTACTCAAAGATGTTAATATTTTAATAAATAGTACATGGTCATATTTGTCTTCATCTCTAATTGATGGTCAAAGAGCTAAATATAATTCATTATTTAAAAAATACAACTTAAATTCAAATTCAATGATTAAGTGATATCAATGAGTTGTTGGATTTGAACCAAATTTTGTAAAATAGATGTTATAGGAAAAAAAAATAGAATTTAAAAAAAATATGAACCAAATTTTGTAAAATAGAAGTTATAAGAAGTTATAATACTAATACAACAAGAAAATAAATTATTAGAGAAAAGAGAGAAAATTAAACATAACTTTTCTATTTCTATGCTTGTTCAAAATTTGTACAAAATTTGACTTGAGATCGACTGGCAAGGAAGGAACAGGTGATTCATTTCGTCCATTTAGCATAACAACATAGTACAGAGTCACAGATCTCTAGTTTCTGCAATCTGTGCAAAAATGTAAATAAAAATATAAAAAATAAAAACCCAAATTGGACTCGTGGACCCATAAGAACCAGCCCGTTTCAAATAGGCTGGGTTAGGTCCAGTTCCTATTTCTTTTATTACCTGACCCGGGCTGTCCCGTACGATTTTCAAACGGGTCTAGTCCGGTTTCTCTAATTTTGGGTGTGGCCCGACCTGACCCGTGTCCACCCCTACTAATACCCTTAATTACTAAAATCCTTCGCAAAATGAAAAGCATCATCTTTCTTTCTTTTCCGTTCTCGACCATCACAGCCCACCAAAATATTATTTTTAAATGAACATTGTCAGACCATACTCATATACTATCTCCAACCAAAGGGACCCTCAATAATTTTCTATTTTTAAGTTTATGCTTTAAATTTATGGCTAATTTAATTAAACTACCTTTGGATATTTCCAATCTAGTCGTTGAATTTGAATCGATTATTGCAACTGAAAAGCTAGACCCCAAAAAAAGGGCTAAGGCCATCTCTAACCAAAATAGCTAAATATTGCCCCCCCCCCGGTCTAGAATTATAGCCCGCCAAAATAGTTTTTTTAAATGAACATTGTTAGGTCATACTCATATATCATCTCCAAACAAAGGGGCTAAACATAGCCCTCTCAATAATTTGCTGTTTTTAAGCTTATACTTTAAATTTATGGCAAAAAAAAGGTTAAGAGGGGGGCTTACATTTGGCTAGCCTAATGCCCTTTTGACCAAATAATGGCTTAGTAGGTTTCGTAGAATTATAGCCCAACCTTCGATTGGAGATGAGTTTTTTGGCAAATCAGGTCATATTTTGCCTTTAGCGCTATTTATTGGAGATGGCCTAAGAGGGGGTTACATTTGACCAGCCTGATGCCTTTTTGGCTAAATAATGACCTAATGGGCTCCATAGACTTATAGCCTAACCATCAATTGGAGATGAGTTTTATGGCAAATCAGGTTATTTTTAGTTTTTAAACCTTTAGCCCTCTCCATTGGAAAATGCCTAAAAATGATACCCTATAATACTCTCGGACGCCATTTCTCCTTTTCATCCTTTTTTTTATGAATCCTGGGCACAAATCGAACCTACACGAGTGTTTGCATAAGGAAGGTACTGGAAATGAGAAGATGATA